GCGACGGCCCAACAACATCCAGCGGCACGGCGACGGCTCAACCCGCGCCCCCGCTGCCGTCGCCGCGGCGGCACGTGCCCGCCGCGCGTTATTCGTATCGACGCTTTGTACGTACGCACACGCACACCCCCGCCGCGCGCGAATCGTAGAGTCTGCGGGCGGCCGGTGCAGGCGCAGTTGCAGGCAGGGGTGAAAATAGGACAGGAAAGTTCCCGCACCAACTGACACCGTTTCCCATATTTCCTGCCCGTTCCTGTTTTAGTCGGGTAAATCCGAAATCTGGTCGGAAACAGGAGCAAGGTCACGGGAATAGGAACAGGATCGGTTTTGTAATTTTCCCGACCGTTTTTTCGGTTTCCCACTTATTACTCGGGAATTCCCGGATTTTCCGGTTTCCTTCCCGCCAGTAAACTGCAGACAAGTACGCTAGCCCAAAGTACTCTTTATATCTCACCAGCGTTTGCAGTAGTGAATGGATGGGCGAGGTGGGACTAAACTCTGGAGCTTTGCTAGTGCACTGCGGTGCTGCTGGCCTGCTAGTTGTGGGTCAAGGCCTGCTACTTTCCTGCGCGTGCATGCACGCACGTGGTCCACGGCCTGCTAGCGGTAGCCCAGAAATCCACCGGAGTAGCTTAGGCCATTCTTTTCATTTCCTTTTTTTCTTTGCAGACTCTCTGTTCTGCTGTTCTGTTCCTTTGCATTAGTTATTTACATTACTATTGCCTGTGTATTATGTATGTTCCGATGAGTTGCACATTTAATGTGGTTATTTGCATTGATCTTCCCGATTTGAATTATCGATTCCCGCCTGTTATTGACATGTTCCCGATCGAATAGTTTCGGTTCCGACATCCCGTATATCCGATTTCGTTTTCCCGACCGGCATTTCCGCTCCTGTTCCCGTTTCCGAGAAAAAAATACAGTAACAAAAATGGTTAGGGTGTTTTCCCGACCGTTCCCGACTGCTTTCATCCCTAGTTGCAGGCGCCCCCGTAAGGCCGTTCGTTTGACCGGCGCGGCGGTGCTCCGCCACTGGCTGCCCCGTAGCCAGCGATGCGTCCACGGCGCGACCTGTTCTCCGATTCGCGCCGCTGCTCTTGTACATTGATCCGGAGATTTGTTTGCCCTGCACTGTTCTGTTCTTTCCCGCACGCCAAAGCGGCGAACAGCTTCGCGGTTTGGACGGATCGCCGGGCGGCACGTGCTTGCAATAGTGCCCGATGGTTCCTTCGCTAGCTACGGGGAAGAGTCGAAAAAGAGATAGACTGGAGTGTTGGACTCGGTCATTTGGAGTAGTTGCTTTTTTTTTACACCTCTTGTCTGGATACAGCCGTAATATATGTTCGCATATAGACATACACCTACACCGCACACACACACGAACACCTCACTCACACCACTTGTATACAAGCAGACTTACAACTATACACAGATATAAAGACGCGTCCTTTGAGAGATCACCAAAGACGCGTCCTTTGAGACCTTTGAGAGATCATCAGAAACCAGATGAGACCTTTGAGAGATCATCAGAAACCCAGAAGGCTCTGTAGGCGACGAAAACGTCGTAGTCCCCCTTATGAGAGGCTTCGCTGAAATGTTATTATATGAATAAATTCCGGTCAGAACACCAGCGCCAAATCAGGGATTGGAACGCTGGTGGGCAGCGTGCACACCCGCACCGCTTGCCAACCGAGCTAGAGCTCGTTCTCATTTGGAGTAGTTGCTTGGTTAGTAAGCAACGAGCATGTGTGCTCAAGGACAGTTAGCCGATATCATGGCATTGACAGGGGATCTCATTTGACTCCCTGGCCTGGTGCATGAACCAGTAACAGTCCTCCTGGCAGTTGCATGCCGTCCGTGAATCTGCAGTTTCTGTTTGGACGTTACGGACTTGCTACGCGGTAGGAGAGTTTGACAAAGTGTTCAGCCCTTCAGGGGACAACATGCTAGTAGAAACCTCGGTCCTATTTGTTTGTATTATAATCTATACTATTTGACTTTTTCTTTTTATCAGAAACAATATTTTTCTTTTATAATAAATTAGTAGAAATAATATTTTAGTTTGTTTTTTCGACCGAAGTGAACGGAGCCGGACCAGATAGGCCAAAATTCGGGCACATGGGCATGATAGACTGCCCGCACTGCTGCGCACAGCGCCCGGTCACATGTACCACCAGCCCACTCGCCACTCCCGCTCGGGTCGCCACTCGCCACTCGCCACTCGCCACCGCCACCGCCACCTGATCGCTCTCGCTCGCCGATCAGAATTCTGAGACAGAGATCAGAGGCACCTCGCCTGGCCTCTCGACACCGCCGATGATGTGACGCGACCGCTGGCCCGGCCACGCCACGACCACGGTGCGATGCTACGGACACACTGTAGCCAACAGCGACGCATGGTGCCGTGCTCTGTTCACTGTCTACATACTCCGGGCTGCTCTGTACACTCTCTCCTCCCTCCGCTCGCCGACACGACACGAAGAGCGCAACGCTGCAACAGTGAGCTCGGTTCGGTTCCGCGGTGGCCGTGCACGTTTTTGCGTTGCGACTTGTGAGGTCCCAAAACTTGTCCGGCACCGCGCTGCGACCCGCGTTCGTTTCCCTCGTTGAGAAAGAACACGAGCAGCGTGGAGCGTGGCGTACCTACCACCCGTGCACAACTTGTTGTTTGCGTCGCAGCAGCAGCGTTTCAATGCGCGCAGCGCTTCTCATTTATTCATAGACGATATCGATATATACATAAATAAATCTGCTAGCGGCAGATCGACCATTTGCTCCCAAATGGCTCATGACATACACGCGAATGAAACAAAAAAGGGAACGAATTGAGCCAAGTGGGAGCGGGGGAAATGGCATCAGCTGATCTGCGCAAGAGGGAAATTTGTGCGCTCCATAGCACAAGGGTGCAAGCTGCATAGTTTAGGCAGCCGGCCAGGCACTCGACGGTGCGGTTTTAAAACGTTAAGCATGTGCACTAACCAATACTTCCTACGCTAATAGCCCAGGAAGAAATACTTGTACTAGAATGTGCATCTTAGTTGGACGGACCTAAGGGCTTTAATAGTATCCAGGAAGAAATACGATTTGTGGGAGAAAACTAGAATGATAAAGCCAAATTTAATAAGTTAGATGGAAATGGACTTACCAATTTAGATTTCTCCGTTTATACATGTGTGCAGTTCCACTCTGAATAAGCTTCGGTACTGTACCTGTAGCGACATGGAAAATGAAACAAGACCCAGGTGCATTTGACTGTACCTGTACGCGTGTGCTGATAAGGCATTAGCAACAACTTTTGATGTATAGGTGAATTACAGTGCCACAGGGGGGTCCTTTTAACTTTCTCCAATTTACATTTTAGATAATAGGTTTCCCGATTTTTTTTTCAAGCGAACCAAAAGTCAACATTAGCAATACCGTACGATGTAAAGTCAACATTCATAGTGCGCCTTTCCTCCATTGCTCACATCTGATCAGGAGGAATACAAACTGTCTCCCACATTTGTTGAGTCTTGAGTGGCTGACCATCTTGTGAGTTCTTGCCTCCTCTATTGCTCAGTTCTTCACATCCATCCAGCAACCCCTCTCAAAAAACATAGACAATCTCAAATCCTGCTCCACGGAATTACAGAAACTACATATTTTTCTCGCATCATGTTTTTTTATTATTTATAAACAATCCACCATCTAGCAACTGACTCAAGCCAGAGCCAAACTTAACTACCAAAATCTGAGATACCAAATTTGAGTTTTCGACAGAAACACAAGGATCTGTTTAGGTGACATTCAGTTGTTTTGGCCCCTCCTGTCAACTGAATTTTTCTCATACACTTACACTATCTTCTAGCTATATTTACACTGACTTATTACTATATTTACATTGACTTCCTCAGTGTAATTTATTGTACGCAGAGGTGTAATTTGAGGATAATACAAATAAATTTCAAAAAAATTACAAATTATTTCTATGGATTTCAGATATATATTAGAGAAATATATGTCAAATTATTCACAAATATTATCAAATTGTTCATAAATTATTCACAAATTAAAAAAAAACTCCAAGCTACGGGGTTGTATTGTGCATGGTACAAGAAGTACGACACGTCACGCGTTGCTTGGCCTTGTGTTAATTCTCGAGTCTCGATCGTACGTACTCCTAAGCAGCACGGTAGATGGATTCGGAAGACGTCAACACGCACGTATGTACACGTCAGCAGTGTGAGCACCCAACACAGCACGTACGCCGGCCTAGAAATCGGTTGACAGAAGAGCCTAAATCACCCGGTTGACATATAGCAATACTGAAACACAATGGTCAAAGAACAAGTGTTGCACAGTCACAGATGCATATTTTCCACAAAAAGGCAGGTTTTCTCTCCCACTGGATTGCCAAAAAATGCGCTATGAAAATCCAACAGAATAGTGGTGGGAAACAACTGGCATTTCTAACTATTGCATAGGAAAATATATTCGGCGGTGTACTCTATACATTCCCAAATATATTATTTATGAGTATTAAAGTTTGATCATTAACATTTCCAGCTACAAATCTAAAGTGACCATATTTGTTGTATAGACTTTTCATATGATTAAACTATTTACTAGTCAAAGATAAGAAAACTTAAAACTTAAAATATATATATATACACATCTTATATTTTTGTGACAGGGCGAGTACTAGAAGAATAACAACCCCAGCGCTTTCAGCATAATTTATACGGGGCCAACTGGACGATCCGGAAAGGCAAAGGGCCCCTCCATTTCGCCAAGGGGCCCCTCCTCCCTATAAAGCCTAGCTCCCCTCCGGCCCTCCCCATCCATCCGCCTCCAAAAGCCAGCCAGCTCCATCCATTTCACCTCACACCACCAGCTCCGCTCTCGCCGCGCTCCCCCACGCCGTCCGTCGCCGTTGATTGAGCCAACCCAACCGCGCAGCTAGACCCATCTCGACAGGCGGCCAGGAGGGCGTGCGCTCGCTCGCTCGTGCGTGCGTAGATATGGCGAAATGCAGCAGCAAGATCCGGTACATCGTGTGGCTCCGGCAGACGCTGCGGCGGTGGCGGTCCCGCGCGGCGGTGCGCGCGGCGGTGGAGGCGGCGGCGGTCCCTGTCCCGGCGGGCCACGTGGCGGTGTGCGTGGGCGGCGCGTCGCGGCGGTTCGTGGTGCGGGCGGCGCACCTGAACCACCCCATGTTCCGGGAGCTGCTCCGGCAGGCGGAGGAGGAGTACGGGTTCCCGTCGGGGGCCTGCGCGGGCCCCATCGCGCTCCCCTGCGACGAGGGCCTCTTCGAGCACGTCCTCCGCCACCTCTCCTCCCCGTCCAAGTCCTCCCGCTTCGTCACCCTAGAGGACCTCAAGAGCGGCGCCGGCCTGTCCTGCTGCTGCGTCGCCGCCGCCGGCGACTCGCTCCCGCTCCTCCACGGCATCTCCGCCGACAAGGCCGTCTGGTGACCGCGCCGCCCTGCTCGCCGGAGCCAGCCATCCCCGTGCCCATTGCGCGTGCGACGGCCATTTCGTCCTTTTTTTTTTTCTTGGGGTATTCTTTTCCCCCTTTTTCGCGCTCGCTCCCTCCGTTTCCACCCGAGTGGAGCTGAACGCGGCGGAGAGCCGGAGACAGACAACCTCGACGAGCAAGATGAGAGCGGCCGGCCGGAGGCGGTGAAGTGAGATGGCTGAGAAAAGTCCTAGGATTTTTAGACGACTGTCAAATCTAGTCATCCATTCATTCCCCTGTCAAATCAATCCGGGAAATTTAGTGGCTAAGATTTATTCTTTTTTCTTCTTTTTATTTTCTCTCTCACTCACTTAATAATCCTCCACTGTAAATACATGTGTACTACTACTGCGGCTCGGCCAGCATTGTTGCAAGTGGAAAACATTCGTTTTCTTCTGCTGCCACGGTGTAAAACCATAGTCTTGTGGACTGCTTGGCCAACGGCTATTTTTTGCGTATATTTTCAGACGAATCTTCTCTACATTATTTCCAAATGTTCCCAGGTGATTTAGAAGAGAAAGTAAAGGAATCAATTCCTCCTCGATCGAACAAAATTATTTTGAATTTGTCACTGCAGGTGGACTCGATGCATATTAGGCCCATTTGCCAGTGGCAAAGTTAAGACGTCTCACTGAACTGGCTGCTCACATCTACCAGTGCCAAAGTTAGGACTTAGGATGACTCCAATGGACTAACTGAATCATCCTATAATTTATTATCCCCCCATTTTCTTTTTCTTGGAGAAGAATGGGATGGCGTAAGAGCTTAACAGAAAGTTCACTACTACTCCTAGAATATGTGTTGAAGCTGTACCTAGGCTGGTCGCAATGATTACGGTATTACCAGCCACCACCAACCGAATAATCGGTTGATGCTCCTAGCTACTAATTGATATGGCAACATGAATATTGCTCAACTAATCCTTTGTTTTTGTCAAGATTGATAGACTAGGAGGAGACTTGTGGTCAGCCTATATGTATTTTTTTTTCAACCTCACGAAAAGGTGACTTGAGCAGTTGAAGTAGAAGCCACGCGTAATTTTTATTTATTTTACCGTGATCGTGATTAAAGTAACTCCCAGAGTGCAGCCTGCAGACTCACACTTTACACAGCAGGGGGAAACAGAAAGCAGGTACAGCCGTACGTACATGTGCAAAGATTGATGCTTTTCTTACCACTGCCTTTTGGTAGAATCTTTTTCCGATCCTAGCACACAACATAACAGTATGGGACTCCATTTGCAACAGCTACAGAAGCCTTGGATGGAGCGAGGCAAGTGACGCCTTGTTTAGTTCCACCCTAAATTCTAAAAAGTTGCTACAGTACCTGTCACATCGAATGTTTGCGGTCTGTGCATGGAGCATTAAATGTAGACAAAAAGAAAAACTAATTGCACAGTTTGGTGGGAAATTGCGAGACGAACGTTTTAAGTCTAATTAGTCCATGTTTGAACACTATTTACCAAATAAAAACGAAGGTGCTACAGTAACCCAAAATCCAAATTTCGCGAACTAAACGAGAGCTGAACACAACAGATGAGGATGACCAGAGTCCATGCCGTGAGGATCTATTGTGAATTCATGACATGTGAAGAACTGAAGATGTTGCGAGGATCTACCGTGAATTCACAGCATGTGTTTACCAAAATGTCGCAAGGATCTACCGTGGGATGTATAGAAGATGTCCGGCTCCGGCGACGGCGAGGGGACGAACGGACCGGACGGCCCGTGAACCTCCCCGTCCTCTCGTCCTCTCTGGTTGGTGCGTACTTGTTCCACTGCGCGGCGGGCCCGGATGCGGCGCGCTGCCCAATCTGCCGCAGCGGAGGCGCGTGCATGTGGCCTGTGGGGGGCGAGGACCGGTGGTCCCCGTGCCGGCTGCACATGTGTGCTGATACCGGCAGCGGGGCCAGGCGCATGGCGTGGGGCCCAATCGCCTGCGCCGTATAGTCCTTCCCGCTTTATCCGTAGTCCTTTCGCGGTTTGGTCTTTCCAATGGGCCGGTCGTGCGGCCAGGGCCCACACCTCAGTCTCTCTCACGCGGTCACGCTCACGCCCCAGAGACGAGACGAGACTCGAGAGGAGAGCTGCTGCTGTAGTGGCCCTGGCAGGTAAAAAAATCGCGTTCGAGTCGAGATTTTCTCCTGGCACTGGCAGCGCGACGGTTGCGTTGCGTTGCGTGCCGGGACCGCGCCTTTGGCCGTACGCCTTTTCGGTGCCCGCAGCGTCGTGTTTCCGGCGCCGCCGGCTCACCGCGGCCGTCGCGTCCCCGTCCCGTGCCGCCTGCAACCTGCATCGCTGCAGGGCTGTGCACCACGGTGGGTGTTCCCTGCGCGCGCGGGTGGGCCCACCCAACACGACGCTCCGCTCACAAGTAAGCGGAGCGGAACGTGGAAGCGGCCGGCCCACCACCAGGGGGGTGGGAACCGCGCGCCGCGGGCCCAGCGCGCCTCCGCCTCTTAGGCCCACAGAGCTCGAGCCCACCGGACCTGGGCCACCGCTGTCGTTCGGAGGTGGTAGTTGCAAGCTGCAACTGCGCCCCGCAGCATCCAGCCCTAGCTAGCGTAGCCGCCCTCAGATCATCTCAATTCCTTTTGCTCAATAATAAAAAAAAGGTCATCTCAATTCCTCTCGCCGGCTGATCGGAGCACCCTCCCAGTCCAGAACTTCTCCGTCGATTCCAGGAGATGAAGGATGAGGAAGCTCGCGTTCCACGAGCGGAAGCGCCTCAAGAGGGTCAACTTGCTGGACTACGACAAGGGCAAGGGGCGCCGCGAGGGCCGCGTGATGCAGCGCTACCACATCGTCGAGAGGGACGACTACAACAAGTACTAACTACCCGCCACCCCCCCTTCACCGTCTTCACGGTCGCACGTTGAGTGGATCGATCGACTCTCGTAATGCTGATCAGGCCAAACCAAAAACATGAGTGCTCCCCCGCGCGTGCCCCTCCAGGGCCCCGACCAGGCGACTGCATCACCTGGGTGGATTCCTCAAAGATCAAGAAAAGAGTCATGGAGTACAATGATGCATTGGCTTGAGGGTACTGTTCAGAGAATTTCTTTGATTGTGGTCAGTGGTAGGGTTTTCTCTTTAGGTGGGTGGTAGGCTGAGATTCCCCACTCCTCTATGTGTTCTCATGCGACAGGGATATTCTTTGGAGGCTATCGTCTGAGGTGATTGTTGCAGAGGTAGGCTTCTCTTAAACCCATGCTAGCTACATGTTCTTCAACACCATTGTGCATTTGGCTATTTTGGGCTGCAGATGTTGATACGATTTTATACTTGAAGCTAACTAATAATAATATAGCAGCACACAGAAATTGTGATATTGGGCGTGATAACCACATTATGATGGTGTCTATAGATGCAACCACCTCAAACTGGTATGACCAAGTTTATACATAACACGCTACAAACCATCATACATTGTGGACGATTAGTAATTTGCTTTGAACGATAGCTCCCTTTGTGAGATGATAGAAAATCCATGTCCGGATATGTATTCACTCTCGCATAATCGTGAATCAATATCCCACTATGTGAAATGAATGATCTTCTATATGAATCAAGGCCTTTTCGTTTCTTGCAAATAATCAAGACTTTCTTTACTAATAATGTTCTATTCGTAATTATATCGTAACAAATGCCAAGTCGGGCATACATACTTGAATGTTGCAAGCTTCCGAACATATGGAACCACTTTCACTTTATCAATTGAGCTCATATTGATTCACGGGGCATTGAAAATTAGTCCCTTGACTAAGTTCAGTGAGGGAAAAAAAAGTTTAGTCTGCCTCGGTGATTTCTGACGTGCCTGCTCAGTGCTCATCCTGTAATTCGATGCTATTGTGCTCGCGTGCATTTTTCCTGGAATGGTTTCTACTTAAGCATTTATAATGTGATCTTATGGCGTAGCATGGTTCAGAAAATTCCATCAGCGACACAGATGATATCATAACAAAAAAGAAAAGAAAGGTGGAGGTGGTGGGGTGGGGTGTAACAGAATTGTGTCCGACACATGCAGAAAGACATCGCAATTGACAAAATCAATAGTTATATGAAACGTACCATATTTATGTTCTTTGCATAAAGATTACACGCAAGATACCATAAATTTACATGTTTGATTGTTGGCTCAGAGCATAGCCAACAAGCAGATGCAGCTTGATGCCAGAAAGAACTACTTGGTTTCAGTGTACAAAAGCACACTCTGCAGACTTTCAATCTCGCGGGAGTTGCAAAACGGATCCAAGCCATGCATGATGCATCATCTGACAAACTCGTGGAGCTATTTTGTACCAGACATTGCAATTGGACATGAGCTAATTGATCTGTGAAGGAATCATAAAGGAATACTCCTTGCATTACCTAACCTAAATCCTGTTAGAAGCTATAACTGCAAAGCTAAACTTGGGATTCTAAATCTACTTCTGATGTTTGAGAGAGACTACTGCCTTTTGATTCTTGCATCTCCACCTCAACAGTAATCACTTCTTTTTTGACTTGCCATTTTCTGTCTAGGGTATGTCTCCATCCGTCTTAGCTTTTCTTTCTTAATCTTTATATCTTAAATTTAGCTCATATCTATAAATATAGCCAAAAAGTAGAATGTGATGTTGTCAATAACAAATGGTAGCTGGTATAGAAAAAGATAATATCATACATCAGCAGGAGGTAAAATCTATATGGTAATGTAATTGCTCATTAAATAGCAACAGTTCAGTTCTCAATTAATATATTTGCACATTCCAGAGTAACACTCTATGGAAGGCTGCAGAGAAACTAGCAGTACTAATTTTGGTCAATGGATTGAGCCCACAATTGCAGATTCAATCATGTTCTTTGCCAATTATGTCAGTTTCAATCCTCATCTTTAGTTAAGTAAATAGAATTAATGCATAAATCATTAAAATTAACATGCGTCATTATAACATTTCAACATCATTTTTTTGCTTGGCCACAAAAAAAACTTAATGTGATCTTCCTATACATAGCTTCACTGCTTATTCTCCAGGGAACATACAAATTATATTTCAGCCTAAACAGGAAAGCCCACTATTTCTTGAGGTTATCTAAGCAGTGGAGATTTATTCCATGCGATCTTCCCAGCAGTAAGAGTTTTACTTAAAGAACAATCACCTTGTGATATTCCATGATAGCAAGTCTATAATAAAATTATAGTAAGTGGATATAACAGGAAGAAGCAACTTGTTGCATATAATGTTTGTGTTTATAGAAAAAAGTTTTGAATTTTACACACAGGGAAAATTGATTTTCCTATTTTTTTCAATCCTCTAGCTTTTGAATCATTAGCTTGTTTACAAAGCTTCATGTCAAGACACTCCTACATGCTTCAATAGAATATTCTTAAGGTTAAGGGAACTTATAAATTGCATTTTATTAGCCTAAACAGGAGAGCCCACTAGCTTTTACAGTTATCTATGTAGTAAAAAATGTGTTCCATCTTCCGAGCAGAAGTTTGCATATCAAAGAATAATCACCTTCCAGCATTTCGTAATGAAGCAGAGTAATAAAAGCATAGCAAGTAGTCATAGCATGAAGAAGCATAATGCCAATGAATTGAATGTTGCTGTTAATGGATAAGTTCAATTTTCAGTATGATCATCAGTCCCAAGTTCGATTTTTCTGAATATGCAGATTTACTTTACATCATTCATTTTGTTTGTGTACAAGGACAGCAGAATACTATATCCACACTGCAGATACCATAATCCATATATAATTTTGAATTACTCGATAAGGTTACAGCAGTGAACTCCATAGAAGATTGAACTCCACTGATTGTAACCAAAATGAGATGCTAATTTCGAAGTTAACTCCTGTTGCTAATTTCGTTCATTAATCAACGACTGACAAACTGCGAGAACAATTGAACTTCACAACAGAAGCATCACACACACATGGGACACTATTAAGACGAGAGCTTACGGTAAGATGTCACTCTTGGCGAGCAGGAAGTATATCCTCCAGAAGTGCTTATCCTTCATGTGCCGAGGGCACAGATCGTACCGAATCTTGGCGAGTTCCTGCACGCGAAGCACACAGGTACAGCTCACGCTTCACAACCTTTCACGGATCGGGAGAGTTAAGCAGGGAGACGAGATCCGCGGGAAACCACCAACCTTAGCTTTGGACAGCACGAGCACGGCGTGCCGCTCCTGCCAGCTGGTGAGGTCGCCGGCGGCCGCCTCATATAATGTTTGTGTGGAGCCTCCTGCGATCAGCGCAGAAGAGTATCAGGATCTACAGCCGGATCGAGAGTAGGGCAGCAGAATCGGTGGAGAGGGAGGGCATGTAGGGTGAGGGACGGAATCATCTGTTGCCTTGGAGCTGGAGGGCGGCGGCCTTGAAGGCGTCGGGCGAGAGCGTCCGGAGGAAGTCGGTGAGCTTTGTGTACAAGGGGTCACGCCCAGCATAATCCATATATCCTCCTCCTCCGAAGGCCGTGGCGGCGGACGAAGTTGCTCCTGTTGCGCCACGACTGCTGCCGCTGCCCAACGGCGGCGAAACGGCCATAAGAGAAAGGTGAGAAGGCCAGGAAGTATATCCTCCATGGCGCTTCATGTTGACACGCTGATCTGCACGCGAAGGCTCGCCCTCTCCGCGACAGAGCGAGATCCGCGGGAAACCAAACCTTAGCTTTGGCAGACCCACGGATTGCCCTGGTGAGGTCGTTGGATATCTCCTGCGATCAGCAGAAGGAACTGATCTAGCCGGTAAGCCCGTTATATTATTTCTATTTATTATTCGAGGAGCTGCGGGGTTATATCCTCCTCGTCCGATTGAGGTCAAGTTAGACGTATAATCCAAGGCGAGACGTAGGCCATGGCGCTGTCAGTTGACACACTGATCCGGCTTATATCCCCGAGCTAACCAAACCGGATCGGTCTGTTCGGTGTTGGTTCCAGTGAGGGTTTATTAGTCCATTGATAATGTTTTTCTCTCACAATAAACCAGTATTAATCGAATTTATCAGTCTAGAAATCAACCAGCGAACAGGCATCGCGATGAACTCTAGTCCTATACCGGTTATAGTTGAGTTTGAAATTTACCCTTCTAAGGCTCTTTTTGAAACACAAGAATACAAAAGAATGGAGTGAAAAACATCTGAAATCCAAAACAGAGAAATATCTGAAGTTTGTTGTTTGGATTGTAGGAAGAAGACAGCAAGGAGTATACGCCTTTGAGTTGGATTAGATGTTTTATTTCCTGTATAAAATGCACATGGCCTGTTGCCTTCCGTCCTTCCGAAGAAACGGAACTCAAAATTCATCTGTTCCAAACATTATCACACGAATCCTTTTAAAGAAGTGAAAGATATTAAGATTCCTGTAAGAAAACTTTGTTCCAAAAAAGTCTTATTCTTTACTAGATTGATAACTAGACAAAAAACTAGAATTAATTTAGTCTAGATTTTAAACAAAGTTGTTATGGTAAACTGTTTAACTAGTTAGCTTTCTTACGGTGTTATTTGATTGTATTTTCTTAGATTTATTTTACAATGCCATTCTATTAGTGACATGCGACAAACATATCGACAACTTACGAGAAGTGTATGTGCTTTTATAGGGATGTGTTAAGAGCGCGTCCAACCCTGGCATTCATCTACGTTAGCCTTAACAAAAAAGTTGTATCCATTGAACACAAGACTCGCAGTGCAAGACAAGACACTCCTACTTTTTTCGATGTCATATACATGTCGCTTCCAAAGTCTAACCACCTCTCTTCTCCCTTCTCCCACTCTCACCTGGCAACTCTATGGTCTCCCACATTGGTGTATTGGGGTATGGCTCACAACGTGTGCTTAATATATGCTTATGCAAGCTACTATTAGACTCTACGAAGCCACTCGCTCGTATGACATGGAACCTCAGTGCTTATGTGGAGGCTGGAGCATACAGCCAGCCACCTCTCTTCTCCGTTCTCCCACACTCACATGGCAACAACCACCTCTCTTCCCCCTTCTCCCTCACACTCACATGGCAACTCTATGATCCCCCACATAACTGTGTTGGGGTAGTATTTCGCACACAACGGATGCTTTAGTATATGCTTGTGCAAGCTACAATTAGACTTTACGAAGCCACTCGCTCGTATGACATGGAACCTCAGTGCCTATCTGGAGGCTGGGCTAGCCTGGTGTGTCAAGCCTAACAACTTTGGCAAAATGTTTGTGTTAGGTTCAAAAAAAAGTGTTTGTGTGTTGATAAGGGTGGGTTGATCAAAGTCTCTTGATCCCGAGCAAACATTCCGTGTGACTGTTTGGTTAGAAGCCACAATTTATCTAAGCAAGTGTTTGGCTAGCAACTAAACATAGAAAAGATTCTTTTGGCTCCACGTGTCATAGAACAAAAAAAAAAGTATGACAAGACTCCTCTAGACACGGTAGAATATGAATATGAAAAACTGTCTAGCCACAATTGTTTTAGTTTAGTCATGTCAAATTATGCCCACTTGGACATGACAAAAAAAGAATTTAAATTGTCTACGCACAATTGTCCAAGGTTTCGTGGCAAATTATGACCACGAACCAAACAGCCCATGTTTACCAATCAACAGGATCAGTCCAGATGGTTAGTATTGAAGACTTGCTACAAATCAATCAAGAACGGAGATGAATTGCATGACGTACAACGTACAGGTTCGCTATAAATCAATCACAAGAAACAAAAGTCTACATCATGAAACATGATGCATCAGATGAAATAGCACCGAGATCTACAGAAAACTTGAGGTATGATCTAAAGCTCATACAATGTAATTTGTTTCTCTTGCCGTTGACCTGATTATACATGAAATAAATATCAAAATGTCCATTCAAGGTCAAGACAATTGGTTCAAGCACGACCGTGCTAACATGTCATCACAAGTTTCGTCCCTTTTCTTGGCCACCAATCAGTGATCAAAAGCATGTTTAGCTCCCGGCAGCAGTAGGAATGGCAGTTGGTTTCGAATCCTCAGCCTTCTCGTGCTCCTTGTTTAGCATCTGCAATCACAGCAATTAAGAGACAAGATTTCATGCCCACAGCAAAATTGAGTAATTCCATTACAAGTGATCAATGTCACAAAGGTAACAATCTATCTACAAGGAAATACAAGGAATGCATACAGGGACTGAAACAGCATCAGAACAGATAGAAACAACCAACCTTATTGTTGATCAAATTGTGAAGCGCAATGACGCTCCGGATCAGAGAAGACAGGTATATCACCAACATCATGTCGTTTGTTTTCACTGCACAAAAGGGAACATTAGGCTGCTGCAATAGGATTTCATGAATATGAAAAGATCAGGTCAGTTATGTTAAATCAGAAGAAAGATGCAAGATTACCTGCAAAGGCTTTAATTAGCTCATTTACGTTCAAATTTGGAAGGAGATTAAAGACATCCTGCAAAAAGAACTCATAATGAATATAATCTACTATTAATATCTTCTGAAGCAGAACTTTATGACAGAATTAAAAATCAATGATGTACATAATGAAAAAACTTAAAACATAACTACATGTGGAAAAATAACTGTTCTCAAGGGATCATTTTGTACTAAAATACAAAGAAAAAGTTGGTCATCAACCAAAAATATACTGAACCTTTACTCATCTTATGTGTTCAATTCCGAATGCAATACTACTGCAACTAAGAAAGCTGGTATATTTCAGCATTTACTGTTTAGTTCATTCAATTCCAATGAAAGTAATACATGATGAATTGCAAGAGAGACTAACCTGCAAATGGTACAAAATTTCATGATTCAGTGGGAGCTTCCCGTCAATTACAAGATCCAAATAGCTTCGGATCTCCCTAAGCCTTGCATCGAGTCCCTTCAAGGCTGCAAGCTTGCTAGTGACCTTAATTAACAAAGGAAAGGGATATTTAGGGTGCGCCTTAAATAAAACAATACGCAATCGGAAAATCCACTCATGACATATTACCTCTGTAGCAAGTGTGCTTATTGTTGTGTCCTTTACATCCCTTAGAAGGTGCTCAACTCCTGAAGATAGCACAAGGCATATCAGTTAACAAACCGTCGCAGCGCAAATTCTATCAATATTTCTTGGTAACTATTTTCGTTCCTCAAAATGAAACTAGCCTATTGGAGGACTCTTAAGTGATAACATTGAGAATAGGTTCTGAATAATAAATTGAACATAATTATAATTTAGAAGGTGCCCAAATCCTGATGATAGCACAAAACATGAGTAAACCATCATAGTGCGAACTCTAATATTCATACATAATTATTTTGTTGCTCAAAATGAAGGCAGGAATTGGTGGACCCCTAATGATAACATTTGACAATACCATCTGGATAGTAAAATTCACATAACTTCTTGCTGTTGTTCATGCAGTATCAGATCAACAAGTCTTACCAATTTCCTCAACTTCATGAGCAGCAATTTCTGAAGGAACATGGACAAATACCTTCTGACTTTTCTGAGTAGCATTCTGTAAAGGACAAAAGAGAAATTAAACACTGAGCAAGCAAGTAAAACACTCCAGCATCTCAGCCCCCAGACATACCTCTTTAACCTCCTCCACAGCGTAGTATGCTTTGGTTGGTATCCCCAGCTCCTTGGGTTGAACATCAATAATCACCAGGACAGGATTAGGAACATAACTGCAAATTAGAGAGCGAGAATTGGAATAAACAGCTGTGAGAAGCGCCACAGGCAATACAGGATAAGCACCCAGTGAACAAGCTAGCAGAATTAACATTATATAGAAAATATAATTCTTTGATCAACATATCCAACATCCCTAGAGAAGGACAAAAAAAAAAATGAAATGTAGAGGAATGTTTTTTTTAAGTTCCCAAACCATCAGAAAGTATTGATGGCTCTCAATGCTCATGGTTTAGTTTGACCCAACAAGATTATTCTTTTACAGAAGTATGTGGAGAAGAAATAAAGATGAAGAAATTGACTCTGGTGGAAATACTAACACTTGACTGTTGTCTCCATACATTTTCTTTTCCCAGCAATCTACATTACCAGTGCTAGGACAGTAAACATAGAGTTTCAAAGCAAAATTCATGAGAAAATGTATAGACTATGCAGTTCTGAAGCAAGAATCTCTAGTGTGAGCAAATGTTTTGAGCACAGAGGAAAACAGAAATACGTCTGCAACCATGTATCACTAACAGTAGGTGAAACGTAGTCAACTAGCTTGTGGAAGCCAATCTACATATGACAACACTTCAAAAAATCATCCTAAGTTGACTGGAAAGTTACACTCGTCTATAACTTAGGACAGTACCTACAAAATTGTAACACGAGTTCAGAAGAACAATCATAAGAGGACATAACTTCACATGCAGATTCACCATACCTGTTGAATAACGCATGGACATCCAAGTCGTTCTCCCTTAGTTTTGGGCCAGTGCTGTACCAGCCAACAACATGCTCCTTGGCTGCACCACAAACAGCTCGTGCTCATTAGGGCAACAGAATCAATAGCACCAAGCGGGCACAACAAGTTTTGAGAATTTCGGTACAGCATACCATTAATCCTCTTGAACATGGAGAACATCGACTCATGGTAATTGTGGTCAAGGAACCAGATCCTAGGATCCTTGTCATCCTCCTCAAACGGCACTACAAAAAATCAAGTAGCGGATTCAGCAAGTCACCCCCGGGACAACATCACAGATCTAATCAATCAGGCACGAGCAGAATGGGCAATCCACGTCAATAGAAACAGCATCTAACTGCATCTACACCCGCAGCCAATTCAGCGAAACCCTAAGCAGCACAGCAGCCCCATCCGTGACCGGAAGCGTGCACCCTGAGGGCGCAAACCCTAGCGACGGACAGAGAAACAGGAGGCGGGGGTTGTTGGGAGGTTTACCGGCGTAGGAGTTGGTGACGTCGACGGAGCCGCGGGAGGAGGTGCCGAGGAGGACGCCAACAACGCGCTTGCGGGTGTCGCGGGCAACGCGGTTGTAGTGGTCGACGATGCTGAGCAGCACCAAGGGGTGCACCACCACCCGCTCCAACGTCCGCCCGGACAGCTGCGCCGCCTTCACCACGTCCATCTCGCCGGAACCCTAGCGGCGACCACGGATCTGCTGCGCGCGGTCTCGCTCCTCCTCGGAGCCGGGTCGCGTGATTGAGGAGGGGGGTGCGTGTCGTTGCTGCTGCTGCGGCGGCCGCCTCAGTGTGCGCTTGTGCTTTGCTTCCCCTGGTCCTTTTCTTTTTCTTTCTTGCGGGAGCGGAAGGTCGGGATCTCTTTTGAATAACAACTTGGGACGAGGGGTGGAGGCGTAAAAGGACTCGGCCTTCTGCTGTGACCGCGGATCCGTATTGGGCCGGCCCATCAGAGCATCGGACGATCACCCTCCCCAACTGTTTCTTTCCTGCCCCGTTCCTTTCCGCATCGGCGTGTCTCCGTCCTACCCGGCGGCGGCGGTGGCGGCGCTCCCCTTCCCGGCGGTGCCGGTACAGCAGGCGAGGAATCCGAGCAGTTGATCTCCTACTCGTCCGTGTACTTGTAGATAGAGTCAGGTATTTCTTCCTTCCTCACTCTCGCCCCGCTGGTCCGCTCTTTGTGCCCAGCCCTAGCCTCAGTCGAATTGATCCCCGCATTGCTCAAATTGTTGTCTTCTGGTATCTTGGTTGGAGAAGAATAGTGAAGTATTTGGGTATTATATTATGTTCCGAGACTTAAGAAAGTAATTCTGATCTCATTTCTTTGTTCACAAAGATTCTGATATCATTTCCTTTGGTCAAATTGTTGTATGGTGGTAGGTAAGGTCTGTGAAGTGAGTTGATTGGAATGTTTGTGTTTCTACACCGTGACTAGTTGAGATATACATGTCTTACAAAGAAATTTTGGTCCCATGTGTGTTCTATATTTCTAGGGTAACTAGCACTGGTCATGTTTTAGATCGGGAAGTTACTTTTGCATTTTTTTACTTGGATAAATTAATTGTAATTGGAGTGAGTGCTCGACTATGCTGTGTTTTGTGATATGTGGTATTATGCTGCAGCTGAAATTAGAAAGTTGAGTAGCATTAGCATGTGGATTTCTCCATACTTACTTTTAGTCATCATTATGTAAATTTTAAAATAGAGGCAATTTTGCAAAACATTTGTTTCGCCGTCATTTCACTTTGAATCGTATATTGTAAAATTTCATTTGATTCACTGGGTTTAAGTAAACTAAAACCAAACATAGGAATTATACGACTTCGCCTCTGAGAGGTTATGTCATTTGACTTGACAGCTCAATCTCTATTCTGATATCTGGTTTTGCATTGCATATGACAGGATGGCAATGGCCACATCATCGTCGTATCCTCCACCTCCTCCATTTTACCGACTGTACAAAAATTTTGAGCAAGATCCCTCATCCGCACCAGAACCACCACCGCCAATTGATGGACCATTCAAAGCCTTGGGTGTTGATTACACAGTATGTTTTATCATACTGCCTTTGCTAATCTGCTATCGATGGCATTAAACTGATTCTGGTTTGCCTCTTTGGTATCTAGGGAGATGTTGTGATTCCAAGCTTGGAGAGTCATAATGTTCGTCAGCTTTATCCAAAGGGCCCCAATATTGGTGCGTTGATTCTTGAGAAATAGATATGTTTATCTGCATATGCATACATAACTCATCCTAGTTGAAAATTTTATATACCAAATAAGTTATTGTACTGTTACTTTTGAGGACTTATCCTTTATTTAATGAGCTGAATGTTTGGACATTTGTTAAATTTTAGACTTCAAAAAGGAGCTAAGGACCCTCAACAGAGAGCTTCAATTGCATATTTTGGAGCTGGCAGATATTTTAGTTGAGAGACCATCTCAATATGCTCGTAGGGTAGAAGATATTACGCTCATATTCAAGAACTTACATCATCTTCTCAATTCCCTACGGCCTCATCAGGTGTGAACCTCAATTTCGTTCCATGTGGTGTATTTTTCTGCTATTCTTCAAAAATGTACTTACATTCTTAAATATATTTTAGGCAAGAGCCACATTGATTCACATGCTTGAGAGCCAAATTCAGCACCGCAAGGAAGCAATTGAAGATATAAAGCAGTGAGTGACTAGTCTTTATTCAGCTTGGCTGCATAAGTTTGGATTTCCATCTAATGTAGTTTATAAAAGAATAAGGGTAGACCTCTGAGCTAAAACGATATTCATCAGTATTAAGTCAATCCCGCACATCACTCCCGTATATGCTGAAGCTGTTATATATGTTCCAATGTTTTATCAATATTTATATATTTTTTTGTATATTCTTACCTAGAGTTGGAAATGAGTTTACACCCCGGAGAGTTGGAGTGAGGTTCCTCCATCTTGTTATACATGCTTCCTTATTGTTCACAACTGTTGCAAAAATTTTTTTTTTACCTACTGCATTACGGGTTTGGTATAGTATAGATGGCGTGGACTATAGTCATCCATCACTAAGGTTCTCGGAAGAAGATAGCGAAAAAAATTATCCCTAAAGTCGAAACTAAAAGGAACGTATAAACCAATGCTTCCATAGATTCGATCCTGGTTTATTTACAACTATAACTTCCACACCTATTCACTTATCATTTGGGATCATTTCCCATATAAAAAAGGAAAAAGAGTCAAAGAAAGGACAGGAGATGTTCCTCATGTCAAATCAAACAAAAAGGACCGTTTAACTACTGCTTGCTGCCCTGATTCGAAACATGTAGTGTAGTTCAAGAGATGGTTAGCTGATAGTTTTGATAAAAAAGTTGTAGAATAATACTATGCTATTCTATGAAGATGGCCTATGCTACCATGCATACAAGTTTTGTACAGTATCCTGTATGCTTACTTTATTTTCGCGAATAACCTTCGACTTTAGAAACATGGTGACTAGTGGCTTGCTTGCACGTCTTCTGGTTTTATTGTAAATTGTGACTGCATAAATGCTTTTCTTCTAACGCCCCTGAAAATTTTCTTACTTCAGGAGGAGAGAGGAAGCGCAAAAGCTGCTTGGGGAATCACTGCTTATCTTGGATGGAAGTCAGACTAACTAGGCTGACGCCAAGTTAGCTGGTTCAAGAGCAATTCTTCTATGAGTTATAAGAGTGTGTTAGTAGAGACAACGTAGAGATGGTGTTGAGATATGTCTGGATTGTTGTGGTATCATCTGTTGTGGCTTGTGGTATTTCCAGCTTTGATAACTGAATTTCTTACTTACTTCCATGGTCGATGTTAGCAAACTCCGTCTACTTAATGCTCAATTGTGATTTTGTTGTCGATTACTTTTCTCAGCTGCATGTTGGATTACTTTGTTATGGAAGTGTAGATTGTGAGATTGATGATGCCTCGTGGTTAGCTTAATTGAAAGGTTGTTGTTATATGCTAATATGCTATTTAAAAAAGGAAGATTTCTCGTCTTATTTTTGTTACTAGAATTTGTCGATCAATCAATATAGATAAGTATCGACTCTTGTGGTATCTGGGAACTGGAATGCGTGAAACAAGTCGTTCCTCGTTCGACGTCCACGTTTGCTACTGGGCCGGTTCCCAAGCTCACTACCAGCAGGCAAGCCCAAACCGTGTACAATACAGGCCCACCTGAGCAAAAGCAAACCGACCCAGCTCAGGAGTCACCGAGTCTCCACTCAAAAAAAAAAAAAAAAAGGAGTCACCGAGTCAGGACGGGGAAACGAGAAAAATCCACCTCCCCCCTCCCCCGCAGGCCCCAAGCCCCCGCCTCCGCCAGGAGCCCAGGACGCCTCCATGGACGCGTACCAGCACCAGCGACGCTTCGCCGGCGCCGGCGACGCACCGCCGCCGCCGCCACCTCACCCCTCCCACCCGAGCGCCCAGTGGTACCCGGCGCCCCCACCGCCGTACCATCCTCCCCACCCCGGACACCCCTACCCTCCGCAGCACCACCACCAGTGGGGCCCGCCCCCCGACCTGCAGCACCAGCACAATCCGCCGCCGCCGCCGCAGTCCTACGCGTACCAACCGCCACCCCCGCCCATGGCGATGCAGCAGCAGCCGCCCCCGCCGCCTGGGACCCCCTGGCCCTCTCACCACGGCGCCGGACAGCACCCGCCGCCTAGCTACCCTCCTCCGCCGTCTGGGCAGGTACGTTGGGTTTACGCTGTATGCGTTTCGAATGGCTGGCGATGCATTGACGTTCTTGTTGGGGGCGATATGTAGCTGGTTTTGCACTAGGGTTTGTGAGTAGGGAGAGTGGCTTTGGGTGTTAGGTTAATGGGAAGGGGGTTTCACTTCTAGTGCCCAGCACAATGGGCGTGTGGTTATTCGGATGTAAGCTCATTCTTCCGTTCAATTCGATCATTGTATGGCTTAATGGCTGGGCGCAGTTTGACATTGATATGATTGTACACAACGGTAGATGGAATGATTCTGCTATCAATCTTTCAATTTTCGGCGGTTTTACTGGTTACTATTGAGTATTGATCTGGATATCTACTTTTCTTCTTTGAGTGAGGTGACCTTCATTTGCTTGTTTGCTCTAAACTTTCATGGAACATGAAGTTCATTGCTGGGTGTTGCTTATTTTGCAGGCTTGGACTAATCACTCATGGGCTCAGAATCATGGATACCAAGGTTTGTCAATATTATATGAACCTCTGCTTCCTTCATATATAATTTTGCAGATCACGTTGAGTTGTTTATAACTATGACGTCAACTGAATTACTGATACACTATTGCTCAAAAAAATTACTGATACACTATGTTGCGGCATTTCTACTAAACATCCTATGCTAACACTTATGTATGTGGGCCTGTTTTTTTGCTAAAGGTTATATTATACACGCATTTCAACCTTGTTCGTGAAAACACAAGTTCTCAATAGGTCTTGGCTACTGTATAACACATTATTGAAGCTGCAAATATATATCCATCATGGCCATGTTAATACTTTTGTTGTTATTAAAGTTTAGTCTTAGTTAGAAATTTCTTTGCACCACTTGATTGGGGTGCTACCGCTATCTGTGATGTATTAGTGACTGTGCATGAGATGTTTCCTTTAAGCCTAACACATTTACTGTCATGTAATCCCCTTTCTGTATAAGA